GAAGGTTAGCACGGCTGATATAAGACCCGACGGAAAGAACGCTTCTTTATCGTTGTATTTGCCCCCGACACTCAACTAAATTAACATTAACGGCGGCAGCGACGGTACTTATGAATTTCACGCTTCGTTCTGGTAAATAGCCGAGCCGTTCGTCATAAAGCGCTTCCAGTGGTATTGTAACGCGGTACACGTCAGCCACGCGCCTCAGAAATGGCCGAGATATTCGCGCGAGTGTTTTTTTCATCATTTTTATAGGGTCAATTTAAGAGCGCGTCGGAGTGTGCAATACGCCGCACCCCGCCCCGTGGAAGCAATTAAATTAAAAGTCCCACGTATCACGAGAAGTAATTCTTGCTTTTACGGCACATTCAACGGAACTCGCGTATCAGTTTACGGAACAATGCAGCTGCTGTGGGACAAAAGTGCTCGTACTTCAGAGTTTTGGCGCTAACAAAGTTATTTATCACGTCAGGCGCAAATGTCAATTTAAGAGGCGCGCGCTATAATGACGCTAAAGCCAAAGCGGCGAGCTGATAAGATTTAACTTGTTGAGCGTCGCGACTGACATCGGGAGTGTGTACTCGCCATCGGGAAAGTACCTTTGCAACTATTAAATTTCTAATCTAGTCCGATCTAGTCACCAAAAACGCTTTGTCATTTTCAGATGTTAACGAGATAACTCTCACATTTACATTCGCGCCGTTCTCCGCCGGCGAGACGCTGATTCCTCAGCATTGACAAGCGCTGTCGCCACGAACGTATGTTATCTTTTACATGCAGAGTATATAGAGTAAACTCGGGTATGATGGCCATAGGCTGTAATTTCTCTAATAATTGCAAAACATTGCGTTTATGTAAAGTAACAAAGATATTTATCGTAGCGTATGTGCGTACATTTTTCGAAATAGCAAAATTATGAATATTATACTATATTTTTATTTTCGACTATCTGTAAAATTTCTCATATATCCACTAAAACTTGCTATAACGTCGAATAAATTACAGTTAAGCTATCGCAATCAATATACATAAAGGTAGATATATAAAATAGGTATGTAAATTGTAATATAACATGCATTTTTATTTTATTTTTCACTATTTTTTTATAAATACTATTATAATCATCTTTCACTCACATTTTGGGTAAGATGACTCACTATTATTTCAACATTTATAAAACAAAAGTCGTTATATTTAAATTACTTTCAATATTACAGTAATTAAATATTATGTGCAATATGTTTTGATCAAAAATTGGATTTAAGTTTCGTAATAGAGGTTTCTGTTTTATATGTATATTATATTTTTCACAAATAATAAGTATAAAATATTCTATACTAAAATGAATATGTCAAATTGTTTTTTTTATTATTTTATAAAATAATAGGTGCAGAATCTTGAACGTAAAGTATTTTCCTTTTAATTTTGATGGTATTATGCACTGTAGGCTTCAGTGAAGTAATGTGCCAAACGCTATTAAGAAATAATAATAAGAAATGTATTTTTTTTGCATTTTAAAAAAAGTATGGCCATCTTATCCGAGTTTACCCTATATATTTTTTATAGTAAAAATTACTATTGATAGAATTTTATAAGAAATAGATTGAAATTCTGCAATAACTTAATATTCTTTAATTTATTATATGCGCTATGTATATTTTAAGAATTGTGAAATAGAATGTTAAGAAATTTGCAATATTTTTAGCGAAATTTACTATTTCCTTAAAAAGACACCACACACTCGGAAACTTTACCAACAAAATACTAACTTTTTTGCAAAATTTTTCTACGTCGTATCGGTTGCACAGAATTGCAAATATTTTTACACAATAAAAACACATAGAAAAATAAAGTGTAGCATTGCTCAAAATGCGACAAAACATTTCAAAACTGACATCGCGAATTATCAGTTAGCGTTAATATTTGTGTGACACAAAGGCAAATATTTATATGAGAAGAGAAAGTATAATATTTTTTTACGTGCATTAAAAATGAAAGTTCTTCATCTTTTGATATATAACAATAACATATAACAATCTTTCTATATTAAGAGATTCGTGATAACATTGCATGGTCAATGTCACGTAGAACTTTCTTTCACGACGAGACGCACACTAGTAGGACACATGCTGTCGCTCAGGAAGATTGCGATCCTGAATGAGGTCGACACGCATCTCATTCACCTTACTTATGTCCGTAAAATTCTTATCTACTTAATATCCTAGAAAAAGGAGATGAAGATACGTATCTCGATGTAATATCAAAGATAGTGTAAAGTACCTTTTGTGACATAGTTATTCGTTAAGATAACATATCAACGCCTGACTGAGTAAGCTTATTTTGGAATTTTATGCGTTCGCTGTAGCAAAGCAGTTGGTCACAAATGTGATTTTGAAAACAGAATATATTTTTTTTCATTACTATATAATACACTTTTTGCGGACACATTATATCTATCATTCTGTGACAAACGTAGTTACGTACCATCTTCGGCATCATTAATTTATCCATCGCCGGGACGTATCATGGTATCCAAGCTCATCAGGGAGAGAAAAACCTAAGTGTTAGGGCTAGAAGAAGTGTTTCTTTGGAGGGCTCGGTTTCTTCGTCCGTGATGTGATCCTAACTACCTTGACGTAAACTTGACACAGGCTTAACCCGGAGGTAACCCAGCTATTGCTGTTTATCCCCGGGCATCTTCTTATCTTCTTTTATCAATGATTATAAAACGGTCAGCGTAAGACTACTGAAGTAAAAAGGCAGAAAGATTTGGCCGTTGATTAAAGAAATTACAGAGATTAATGGTGGGCACGTCACGCCGAGAGATAAATTACCCGAGTTTTTCGAGTGAAAGAGAATTTTGAAAAATACTGAGAAAAATTTAAGAAGAATTGTGTGCACAGGGAGATTTAGGAATAAAATTTATTGGAAGCTCGAAGTTGTGACTCGCATAATACTTCGCCCAATCCGGCTCTCGTGAATTTACGATAGAGGTTTACGGTGATTATCTTTTGCTGCTCGATGGCGATACGTAGCCCGAAAAAAGAAAGTTATTCTCGATGATATGGATTTCCGCCTCATTGGCGAGGGAAAACATACAAGGGTCGTGCTATCAAAAAGGTGTTTCTTCGGCGATTCATGTGATCCCTCCTCAGTTTCCAGTCGAGAGGACTTTACTTGATTGTCCTTGTAGTTACTTTTAAGATGCAGGACGAAATTAAACAAGACATAATACAAAATATTCCGTTTATTCGGCAACAAGTTCACCCATGCGTGGCGAGAAACACAGTTAAAAAGTTATCGTATAAAAATTATTACATTTCGCAGTATATTAGCTCAAAACTGATAACATATATATATATATATATATATATATATATATATATATATGTATATATATATATATATATATATATATATATATATATATATGTATATATATATATA